TAAACTCATAAAAATTAAAAAAAGAATTTCCTTTCTAATCTTTGTTTTTTAAAACTGATCATCACTAGGTAGTAAAACTTATCAAATGCTTTTTAAATCTTTGATTGAGGTAACCATATAATTTTCTTTTTTAGTCTTTAATGTGGTGATATACACCGATGGGTTTTCTAATATTGAGACACTTGTATCCCTGGGATAAACTGCCCTTGTTTGTAATGTATTACCTTCAAATATGCTTTTATATTTGGTTAAGTAATATTTTATTAAGGACTTTTGTGTCTATATTTACAGATGAAATAGGCCTTTAATACTTTTCTCACACTATCTTTAGCTGATTTTAGAGGCAAGATCACCCTAGCCTGATAAAATGAACTGGTTAATTTGTCATTACTTCTCCCCGACTGTATCTCAAAAATGTACTCCAGGTAGAACTGCAGGCGAGCACCTGGCCTAGACCCCAGTTCCCTAAGCAGGCAACATATCTCACTCCTTTTTTATAGATAAGGCAATTGAGGCCCAAGAATATATCTCTAAATGAGGTGGAATTAGCTCTGGCCAGGTAGCTCAGCTGGTTGGAGTATCATCCTGATACACCAAGGTTGTGGATTCCATCCTTGGTTGGGGCATATATGGGAATCAACCAGTGAATGTATGGGTAAGTGGAGTGGAACAGGTCAGTATTTCTCTCTCTCTCCCTTTCTCTCAAAAAAGAAACAACAACAAAAAAAGTAAGTATAAATTTAAAAAGATAAGTGAGGTAGAATTAGAACTTGGAATATTTTATCTTTCTTGGTGCTATCACTTCTTGGCTTAACTAGTAAAACAATATTCAGTGATTGGTATAATAATTAGTTTTTGAGTAATAATGCATAATATTAAAATAATATTGCAAGTTTACAAAGTTCACTTCTTTATCACTCTTTCAGAACACACTTTCCTACGGCAGCAAACAAGTTGGTTGGGTTTCCATACCTGGCTGCTTACCTCATCAAATCAGCCCTCATCCCCATCCTGTGGTGCATGTCCCCTAATCTGACCCAATCCCCTAACCAGACTTGGTCTTTCAAACTCTTCCTCTGTGACTTTTGGATTCGTCTATTATCATCCTTGTATTTCCGGCTTGTTCTCTGAATGTTCCTCTTCTAGACCTTACTGAAACCTCGCTGTCTTAGAGAACGCACTCCCCTGGCAGCCCTCTTAGCACAGGCTTATATCTTAGAGTCTGGAGCTGGGAATATTGTTCCCTGATGCTGCTTCTATCTACACCATTATTCTTTCTTCATCCTTCAAAATCCTCTGCTCCCTGGAAGTTCATGTCTGCAAGTGTATTTATTACTCATTACCTCTAATTGTTGGTAGGGCCTTCCAGCCTGGTCATTCACCTACATTCATTGATAACTTTAGCATCTGGCTCATCATCTTCCTCTTTACACATATGTTCCTATCATTATTGTTCTTGACTTCAAAATCCATGAGGGTACTCCATCTCACTGTAGCCCCTCAGTTCCCTGTCTCATCTCCAACTATTTTTCTCTTTAGCCCGTCCCTAGGCTTTGTCATCTCCAAAAACCTCTTTCAATTTACTGAACTTGAGCCTCCCACTTTTAATGATCACTTTCTAGCCTTTCAGCTCATTTACTCACATATTTACTCATATATTTCTTTCACTGTTAACCATTGACCCTATCAGGTTTTACCAACACTTTTTTACGCTTACTCTCTCCTTCTTATCCAATATATCCATGATCTAATACATGAAACACTCTCATGCAAATACCTTAAAATTCCTCCTTTCTCTTTTTTAGCAACCAACGTTGGTTAATTTGAATCATCAAACTACTTGCTCCCTGCACCCATATTTTTGTTGCCACACTGGGGTTCAGGGGAAGGTTCTATTGCCATCTAACCCGTGAAAGTTAAGGATGCTAAATATCCTGCAATGCCCAGGACCGTCACCCATATCAAGGAATTATCTAGCCCCAAATGTCGATAGTGTGAGGTTAAGCGGTTCTGCTTTAAATTAATACAAGTCTTAAAGGGGCAACTGACACGGGGTCTTAGAACTTGCGGCTTTCTCTGGCTCTAACATGGTTCTTTCTTGGCTGGCTCACTGTTTACACTTCCTAGAAAGGTCTTCCTGACCTCATCCTGGAGCAGATCCAAGCTCATCACATTAACCTGTTTTATTGCCTTCAAAACATGTACCATTTTGTTCATGTCTTTTTTTTTAAAAAAAGATTTATGTATTTATTTTTAGAGAGCGAAAGGGAGGGAGAGAAACATCAACATGTGAGATATACATCCATCGGTTGCCTCTTGCACAACCCGAATTGGGGAGCTGGCCCCAGGCCAGGCATGTGCCCTGACTGGGAATCCAATCAGCGACCTTTCGTTCGTAGGTCGGTACTCAATTCGCTAAGCCACACCAGCCAGGGCTTGTTTATGTCTTTATGGTCTGCTTCCTCTCTCTAGAATCTAAGTTACAGGAGCACAGTGTCTTCTTTACAGCTGTATCCTCAGTGTACAGGTGCCTGGTACATTATATAGGCACTCAGAAAATACTGATTGAACAAGTGGATGAAAATATTGTTAGTTTTCGATATTCATTTATTCATCAAATATTTATTGGTGATAAAACCTAGACACATTTCTGCCCTCTTGGAACTTAGTACAGTGGGAGACTGACATTGAATAAATAACCACACAAAGTAAATAGTTTTAGACTATGATAAGAGCTTTGAAAGTAAAGTGTAAGCAGCGGTGAGAGCGTTCAGCAGGTGATCTGACTCCGCCTGGGGCGGGAAGTCAGGCCAGGCTTCCCGGGAGAAGTCATACTTGAGCTGACAGTTGAAGAATTAGTTGGCTAGCTGGGTAGAGGAAGGCGAGTCGGGGTAAATGGAGAAGACCATCTAGGCATAGAAAATAGGCTGTGCACAGGCACCCTGGCAGGAAGTCTGTTTCAAGAACAGAGAGATGCCAGTGTGGCTGAAGCAGAGTATGGTAAGACATGGTATGGCATTTACCAAATGGAGTGGAGAAATAGGAGCAAATAAAAGAGTGCCATTGGAAGATATTAAGGATTTTCAACAGGGAGTGACAAGATCTAAGTTTGCTGTTGTTTTTTTTTAAAAAGTCATTTCCCGGGACTAGATTTTAGAAAGACAAGGGGAGAAGCGGGGTTGGTTTGGAGGCAGCTGCAGTGTCCAAGCAAGAGTTGATGGTGGCTTGGCCTGAGGTGGTGCAGTGAAGAGGTTAAATATACTTAAGTAAGTATATTCATATTTATAAGTATAAATATATTTAAGTAAGGAGAAACATGGAATTTCAGTGCTGGAAAGCACTTAAAAAATCATTAACCAATAATAGGAAAAAAATGAATAAAAGAGTTCATTAAAGTCTGCATTTTATAGGGGTGGGGAAGGGTTAATTAGCTTAGTTCTGAGGGGACCTTTAATGTGTTTATTGAATTCAAGAAGGAAAGACCTGCAGAGAAATGTTTGAGAGGAAGGAACAAAAATGGGAAATGCAAGAGAGTTGGCGGGCGGGTTGGGGGGGGGGAGGAGAGAAAAAAATAAAATGAGACAGAATAAGAAATGTGTGTGAGTCTGAGAGGTGGGACAAGGTGGGGGGAGAGGAAGATTGGGAGGAAACTGGGCAGGAAGGTGAAAAGAAAGACTAACTGGCAATGCTGGATTCTAAGGGGGCTGGAGATAGGGAGGGAACAAAGGTAGACTAAAGAGGGCAGTGAAAGAGGGAGCAGAAAGGCTGGAAGGGGGAGACGCTAAACGATGAGGGAGGAATGAGTGAATGGGGGGTGCTGGGGAGAGATGCCCAGAGGAAGGACAGGGTCATATTTTGGAGAGAGAAAAAAAAAACAAACAAACCCAAAAACAAACCCAAACAAACCGGAGGGTGAGGCGGGACTCTGAGAGGGGAATCAAGTCACCTTAGAGCCATGTGTTAGGGAGGACACAGGATGGGAGAACGAACCCGAATAGAAATAGACAGGTCCAAGCTCAGGATGAAAGAGAAATGTGTGTAGAGCCGGGGCGGGGGCGCGGGGGGTGGGGGTGGGGGCGGGAGGAAGGTAAGAAGACGGAGAAGAGGGAAAGGTGGACAAGTTTGGGAAGACTCCAAGGGAGGGAGGGAGGGGTGCGGCCAAGGCTGTTATGGAGCCCTTACCCTGCTCCCCATCCTCTGCTGGCTTCTGGTCTCAGTGGTTTCCTCCTTCTGTTACAAGGACCCTTGGCGTTGGAGGGGATAGTGACCACTGGGAGGTGGGGTGCTAAGGGCGCAGGTATTGTCATTTCAGGGCTTTGATTGGAGGGGGGCAAGAAGATGGGAGGTCTTGCCTGAAAGCTGAGTGTATGTTGGAGGGCAGGGTAGGAGGGCGACGGACAGGGGACCAGGAGGGTGCGCTGGGGCGGTGGCCCCGGGCGGAGACTCCAACTCGGCTACCTAAGTGAGAGTTCTGAGGAATTGGACCCATGGCCCCTGAAAGTGGGGTCGGCGAGGCTAGGAGACAGAAGAAAACGGAGTAGAGAAGGAGGTGGGGGTGGGGAGAAAGTAGGGCGGGCCAGAGAGCACCCAGGATAGAAGCAAAGAGTCCCTGCGGGCGGTGAGGGGAGAAAGGCGGAGCGAAGGCTGCCCAGGGGCGTCCCCGGCGCTCTGGCTCCACGGCGTCCCCGATACACCTGTTGGGGAGAAGGGAAGGGGTATCCTGGTGCCCGAGCGAAGTCCAGTCCAGAGGGGCTGACTTCCGAGAAGACTCCGCCTTCTCCCTACCTGCGGTCAAAGACGGGCAAGTGAAGGGGCGTGACCCTGGTGCTCAGGTTTCTTCCTCTACACCTGGGAGAGGAGGGTGGGGGCCAGGACTTCCGGCCCAGGTGAGTGTCCCTTCGGTGACGTCAGGTCACCCTTGGCCGCCCCTCCTGTTCCGCTCCCCCTCGCGCTCCCAGTGCCCGCGGGGGCGCGCCACCGACGCCCTACATATACTCAGGTGCGCCGCACCTGTCCGCCCGCCTCTGCCCGCTCACCGCTGCTTGCGGATTACCCTCGGGCCGACAGCCCAGGGTACTTTGGGGACCTCCAGCACCCAGGACCGCCCAGAAGGCCCGTCCACCTTTTGTTTGGGTAGCGTCGCCGAGAGTGCCGGAGGGAACGGCCGGGCCTTCGGGAATCGCCTTCGGAGGTCACCAGTCCTCCGGGCGTAGCCTGCTCCCTCTGCTGGGAGCCCCTCGCCCCGCCAGAGGGGCGATTTGTGTCTACTTCGGGTGATACGAACTTTGCAGTCACTCGACAGAAAACTTGGTTTTCTCTTTGGGCGACTTCTAACTCCACCGCAAGTTGTCTTGTGGGTTTGCCCCTCAAAGTTTGTTTGTTTTACTGCAGAAGCGCCGGCTCGGCGCCCCCAGTCTCTTCTGAGGGCGGAATGGCCAATTCGGGCTTGCAGCTGCTAGGCTTTTCCATGGCCCTGCTGGGCTGGGTGGGCCTGGTGGCGTGCACCGCCATTCCTCAGTGGCAGATGAGTTCGTACGCGGGGGACAACATCATCACGGCCCAGGCCATGTACAAGGGGCTGTGGATGGACTGCGTCACGCAGAGCACGGGACTGATGAGCTGCAAAATGTACGACTCGGTGCTGGCCCTGCCGGGTAAGGCCGCGAGACCGACGTGGCGGACGCGCCCAGGGCCGAGGTCACGGGGTGGGTTGCGGGGCAGAGCCAGGGCCCCGGGGCCCGAAGCCCTGGGTTGCCCGGGAGCCAGAGGGAGGAGAGAGCGGAAGCAGTCGGGACGGGACAGCGGGGACGGCCGGTGTTTCAGCCGGCTACACGTGGGCCCGCGCCCGGCCAGCTGCACCCTTCTTCCACCCGCAGCTCCTCAGGCGGTAGCCGGGTCCGAGGCCTGGGTCTCTTCTTCCCCACGGCCCTAGGCTGTCAGTGGCCTCGCCCACTCTCGCTCTTTGCTCTCAGACAAAGGGTGGCTTGGGCAGAGGCCGCGGGCCCGGAGGAGGAGGCGTGCGCTCTTGTCAGTTGTGGGCAGACGCCTGCGGTCTCTTAATCTTATCCGCCGATTAGACGAAGCCACAAACCCGGTGGCCTCCAGAGTGGGTCAGAACTGGGACGCGGGCCGTCGTCTGTGGCCCGTGCGGAGTCTCTGGCCGCCGCCTCCGCTGTCCCCTCTAACCCTTCCCCCTACCCGGGGCAGTTTCATCGAAACCCGGGCGCCCCGGGCGGGTCCGAGAGCAGCGACAGGGCGGGGCAGAGCTGGAAGTCCGCAGAGTCGGGATCCACCCCAAACCGGCCGGTACTTGGACACCGAGGGTATCGCAGGCTGGCTGCGGGCAACCCGAAGGCTGGAGCCGCCGCAGGGCCGCCTGCATTTCCAGCAATGCAAGTTCTTCCCTCCTCCCCGCAGCGGCCATTCAGGCCACTCGAGCCCTGATGGTGGTATCCCTGGTGCTGGGCGTCATAGCCATGTTAGTGGCCACAATGGGCATGAAATGTACACGCTGCGGGGGAGACGACAAAGTGAAGAAGGCCCGTATAGCCATGACCGGAGGCATCATTTTCATCGTAGCAGGTGATTCACGGGTCCAAAGGGACCTCAAGGGTTCTGAAGAGTGAAGGGGTGGGCAAGGTGCTGGTTTTGGGGCGCTCACGTTACCCAAACTCTCTTCCTTCTCCAGGTCTTGCCGCTTTGACAGCTTGCTCCTGGTATGGCCACATGATTATCACAGATTTTTATAATCCTTTGGTCCCCATGAATACTAAGTGAGTATGGGACTCCTGCCTCCTGAGGGAACGGGTCTGGGGTTGGGAGGCAGGCAGGGTTTCTGAGCCCAATCTCCTCTCTCCACAGGTACGAGTTCGGTCCCGCCATCTTCATTGGCTGGGCAGGGTCTGCTCTGACCCTCTTGGGAGGTGCACTGCTCTCTTGCTCTTGTCCTGGGAGTGAGAGCAAATCTGGGTATCGTGCTCCTCACTCCTACCCTAAGTCCAACTCTGCCAAGGAGTATGTGTGAGCTAGGAAACCCCCTTGCCCCAGCCTGGCAGCCGTGGGTGTGGTCCAACACTTGAAAGGACTTGGGACAGAGAGCTCAGCCTGTGGGCAGGATGTGCAGTGGATGCTGTAGGGTCACTCCAGTCTTGCACGCCATGTACAGTACCCTGGGGGCTGGGTTAAGGAGGCCAAAAGAGGGATGGGTGTGCTTTTTGTACAGTAATAAAAAATACATTTTGGAAAGTAGGCTTCTTTCTTCTCCCTTCAGGGCTTTTTTCTTCCTACTGAGATCCTTGCAGGAAGCCTGTTGCGATCCTATTCTTACTTTAGCTAAAAGAACACTGAGCACTAATTGTGTGCCAGGTCATCCATATTTCACCATTTCATTTTCATTCAGGCCCACTCAGGTGCTTGGTTTCCCAGCCTCCAGTCCCTTCCACTCCCAACTCTTGCTTAAATAGCTACCAAAGAGTTTATTTTTTAATTAAAAGCAACGAACTTTATTCGACTTCAGGGGCAGATTTCCTAGTCTCTCACCTTCCTCTCTACTCCCATCCCACCTTTTGTCCTGACTGGATACTGCTCTCTGGCTCATGAGTCATAGGGAAGGAGCTCCAGAGATATAGGAAACAAAGATGGAACAGGAACAGGGTAAGGCCACCTTGAACAATGGAAGGATGGTTAACCCAAGATCCCCCCTGCCCCCGCCAATTAGTCTAGTCAAATCTCATGGCCAGTCAAATATCTAGGTCATCATCTGGGTCCTCTTGGTCCAGGTCATCATAGGCATCTGGCTCATAGAAGATGTGGCTGGTAGCCTGGCCTAGACCACGGCACAGTAGAGCCTGCTGTCTGAGAGAGAAGAGAAGAATTGGTGCTGGTAAGGGTGGGTAACAGGTCCTGCCTGAATACCCTGTACCCAGTGACTGATACCCTCTTTATCCTCCATGTATTCTTGGTCCAAGTCCCATTCTCTGACCTCCTGGTTTAGTTGGTACTGAAGCACCATTTGGTACTGGAATAGATACACTCACACTGTTCTCCTAATAATAAAGTTCTTATTCTTAGCAGCTTGAGGGCAAGGATCCTGCCAGTCTTGTTTCATCCACCCACACACTGGGCACAGAACAACAGGCGTCTAAGCCCTTACTAACCTGCCTTTGGCCTCCCCATCCAGTTTCCTGTCCTAGCACTGTTGCCTGGAGGTGGGGACATTTCCCGAGGGTCTGGTCTGGCTCAGTCTACACCCAGATTGCTCTACGGACAACTGTGGGGCTGGGACCCAAGGCTGTAATGGAGAAAAAATAGACAAAAGCTCTTTGCCATTGTTGAGTTATGGGTAGGTAGAGAACCACTCCCCAGACTTGGCTCTGGAGACGGACTTCAACCCCTATAAAGTCTGATAGGTTACTCAATAACCTGTTGTTGCCCCACCTCTCAAGCCCAGATGGCTGGGTTCAACTCAGGGACCCAAGTACATAGGCGCCAATCTTACTTTTCAGAGCTGAACTGGAAGGGCAGGGTCAGGTTATCTTTGGCTTCCTTCTCTTTCTTGGACAGGTGAAGGTTAAAGGTCAAGTGAGTAGCAGGATCCATCTGTAGGTACAAAGGATGCTGCCACCCTGTCCCATCCCTGTAATCTGACCCCACCCCCAACCTCTGTAGTTTTTATTCTCTCTAGGCCCCAAACTCTATTCTCTTGTTCTGGCCCCAGTACTCTTAGATACCGGGGGCGTAAGAGGATCTGGGCGGGGCTGGGACTTTACGGGAGACAGCCCTTGGAGATCCAGGCTGAAGTCAGGCAGGATGGAGAACCAATGAGTCTGGTGGAAAGAAAAGAGAGTAGTAAAGTTTTTTCCTACCTTGGTGAAGAAATCAGAGAGATCTAATACCTCCAGCCCCAATCAGCTATGTAAATGGCTGCTTTCAGCTCTTGTTCTCCACTTTTTTTTAAATTTAATTTTATTTTTTCAAATACATTTGTCTCTGCCTACCCCCCACCACTTTCCCTTGCCCCCTCCCTCCATCCACTTCTTTCTTTTCTTTTTTTAGATTTCATTTCATTTATTGTTAGAGAAGGGAAGAGAGGGAGAGAAACATCACTGTGTGGTTGCCATCTCATGCGCCCCCTACTGGAGACCTGGCCTGCAACCGAGGCCTGTGCCCTACACCGGGAATTGAACTGGTGATCCTTTGGTTTGCAGGCCGGCGCTCAATCCACTGAACCATACCAGCCAGAGCTGTTCTCCACTTTTCACCCCTCCTTCAAACCTCTTCAATATGGACTTGTTCCTTCCCCCCCCAGTAACCAATCCCAGTCTTTTCTCCTTTTCCATTTCCTAGAAGGCAGTATCTTTCACCAGTTAAGCTCGCAGGATCTGAGTTTCCCAGGCTGCAAAACGGGGATAATAAAACTATCTCACAGGTTAGCTGTGAAGATTAAATGAGGGAAATAATGAAATGATGAAAGCACAAAGAAGTGCTCCATCACACCAGCTTTGTTACTGCTCTTCCCCTGTCATCCTAACCTCAAGCCCTCCCGTGCTTCTCACCTCATGTGTTGGGCGCTGTTGGGGCCTCCTATAGAGAATGTGAGCTGAGGCCTGGCCTGCTGTACCACTCAGGGTCACCTCAGTCTGAGCAAGGGTGCTCAATGTTCCCATGGGGCCTGGGCCGTGAAGCTCTTCATGTAGCAGGCCCAGCACACGCACGTGTTCTGCTGGGGAGCTGTCGCCTGGAAAGGGACAAGACATGCAGGTCAGAAAGGGCAGTAGGGAGCATTCGGGGTTGAGACCTGGGATCAAATACTGAAGAGGAAAAAAGGAGAGAGAGGCAAGCCCACATTCCATCACATCTCTGCCATACTCCTGACTGACTGTGCCCAGTGTAACGGCCTTGCTCTGAGCCTCTTTTGGCTCCCACCTTTCATGTCCTTTCTTATTCCAATGTAAATCTAAGGCCCCACTCTGACTACAAGCCATAGGCCTTCAGGATGAATGAACACTTTCATCATCTGGTCCCTGCTTCATCTCTTACATACTGAATAACATGCAGTTTTCAGAACTTGCCAAGATCCCAGTCAGTGCCTTTGATTCCCTCCCTTTTGGGGAGAGGGAGCATTTGGAGTGTCAGGCTCTGCACTAAACACTTGAACATTTCAATCCTTACAAAGGTCAGCGTTTGTAGGTCGAACCATATGAAATTGCTCATACCTGACAGGTGACCATATCTGAACTACAAAAATGGCAATTCCACACTTTTAGAGGAAACTAAGCACTGAGAGATCAAATACCTTAACACAAAGCTAGATAGCTAACTCCAAAGCCCATGCTTGTTAGTACCCACAGTATGCAAGGTGGAGCAAAGTAGGTTTATAGTTGCCCGTATGGAAAATATTACAATAAATAACAAGAATAAACACGTTTTGTGTACTCACAACAGTAAACCTACTTTCTGCCCCACCCTATACTGTTAGGCTAGTCCTAGTGTCATGGGCCTGGCCAAATTCGCAGGGCCGATCCCTTGCTCCAAGACAGTTTCTTCCTTCAGGTAGTCTGTGTGTGTTCCTTTATCATCACAGCTCTTATTAGACTATCTTGTAATTGCTTGTTTACTTTTCTATATCCTTGATAAAACTTAGAGCTCCTAGAGACAAGGACCTGACTGTAACTAGTCTTTACTTCCCCATTATCTACAACTGTATCTGATGCATTACCTGAATTTAATGCTTGTTGAATGAGTAAGTAAAATAGATGACCAGAAAAGAATTTGGAGCCCTAGCCAGATAGCTCGGTTGGAGTGTTGTCCTGTGTACCAAAAAGGTTGCAGGTTTGATTCCATGTCAGGGCCCATGCCTGTGTCGCAGGTTCAATCCCCAATGTGGGTGGGAGGCAACTGATAGATGTTTCCCAGGTCTCTCTCAAATTAATAGATGTATCCTCAGATGAGGACTTAAAACAAACCAGAAACAAAACTTGGAAATGAAAAAAGTGATTGATGGGTAGGTAGCATTACAGAGAAGTCGGTAGCATTACAGAGAAGTCAAGAACTATTATAAAGGTATGTTTTTTCTTAGAGTGGAAAAGGGTACATTACCTGGCAGGGGTAGATGTATTAGGGGAAGTAACGAAGGAGGAGTCTCACCAGGGCGGGAGTCCTGATGGCTCAGAGCATGCAGGACCTGGCAGAGTGCAGTGCAGGGAAGGTGAAGCAGCAGCCAGCTAAGTGAATCAAGAGCAATGGTGACAGAACCAGGACGTGTCTTCCTGCACATCGCTCTCAAGACTCCCAGGGGTCCCCCAGGAAGGGCTTCTCCAGTCTTTGACCAGTTGAGAGGGTCTCTGAAGAGGTCATGGTAAACCAGCCTGCAAATGGAAAAGAATACTGTCACCTACCCTCAATCTTGAAATTCATCCTCTGATCTCTGCAGCTCTGCTTTCTCAATTTTCACTAATATCTTAAATACCAGTGAAAAGTAGTAACTGAGAAGTAAAATATAGTCACTGAGTGCACAGACTTTGGTATTAGACAGCCCTGAGCTCCAAGCTTGAGTTTGCTAATTGCACAAGGTCACCTAATTGATACATTTCTCAATCTAAGACTCAGTTTCTTCATCTGTAAAACAGGGATACAAACCTCCTGACATTCAGCACAGTGCTTGAGACACACTAAACACTTGATAAATGTTAGCTATCATCACCGTCAAATATATCCTGAGTGGTGCCTAAAGCGTATCATACTCTGAATGGAAAAAGAGAAAGGAAAGAACACGAGAAAAGGCTCCAGCTTGTAGAAAACTTAGCAAAGATCAAGAATTAAGCTATGTGGTACTAACTACAAATAAAACAGCGATTCAGGAAAGGGAGACTGGCGTGGGCTAAAAATCCTGAGAAAGCTTCATGGTGGCAGAACTTGTTCCCGCACACCTCCTGTCTACCTTGTGCTTCCCTTGTGGATGTCATCTGAACATACAGCATCAGCTCTTCTCCCAATGGCTGGTACATAATTAGGGTTCAACAGATCTATATAAACTGTTATAATCCACGGAGCTACCCTGACCAGGCAGTAATCTTAACTAGGCAACATAGGTGGGTTCATGGACCTCCTGATCTGGATGCTTTCCTTTACTCTCACATCTGTAAGTCCTGGAAGTCTACTTGCTAAAGTCCTCTTACACTTGTCCTAAACTCCCCATCCCTACTGCCACTCCCTCAAGCCAGGCCTCTGTCACCTCCTATAATTACTCTAAGACTCATTAGGACAGGAATCTATCTGCCTCATTCATGGCTGTATCTCCAGTGCCTTGCACTGGTTCACAATCTGTGCTCAGTGTGTATCCCAGGGAACCTGGATTACTGCAACAGACTTCCCATCTGGTCTTCCTATCTCCAGGCCCCTGCCAACCCTTCTCAACACTGGTCGCTGGAGCTTTTTAACAGGAATGATGATGTTACTCCCCTCCCAAATTTTCAAAATGACCCCCCACTACCTTTACAATAACATCTAAACTCCTTTTCAGACTCTGTAAAACCTTTCACTAGTAGGTTTTTGTTTTGGTTATCTGACTTCAGTATGTTCTCCCACCTTCCATGAACAGGTATGCCTTCCCATACCTCCTTGATCCTGCATAAGCTGTTCCCTTTGCCTGTAGGACAAGTCCCTCAGTAACTTGCAGTTAAGTGATGATGCAAGTTTGGAATCCATGTCTGGATCAAGCATTACAAGATTCTGAGTAACACAAAAAGGCAGAACATGTTTTTCTTCTCCCTTACAGTTTCCAGTGTTAAACTGCACTGTTGGCCTTTATCCTCTATTTCTCTTTGACTATATAATCTCTGCTTTGGATTCTCCAGATACTCACCACTCCTCATTCCTCTTACTAATTCTTGCTTCCTGAGACGCCCATATCCATTTATTCAACGAATAAGTAGCTGCTACTACATACCAAGTTCTTCGCTTGTTGCTGTAAGGGAAATTCCTTAGCAATAGAGATCGCACATAAAACTAATTCTTCCAATTTGTACTTACTGGCTGTTGATACTGGAGTCAAATCCTTCGCGAAACTCTTCCTCGCTCACTTCACAGCCAAGGATGTGGACCTGCTCTCCACTGGGGCACATGAGGCAGAGTGTCAGAGTGGGGCCCAGGCTTCCGAACCGCGAAGGACCAGAAGACGCTGCGGGATACTCACCACAGCGCAGACTTCTTGATTAGCGCCTTCAAGAGACTGCGGCCCTCCCACTCCACAGAGTCTGGGGAGAGTGAGGTACGGATAAACAGCGTGAGAACAGAGGTTTCCGCCTTCACGAACCCGTCGCAACCGCGCCACTACCCTGTGACCCATGGTCCTTCCTCTTCACTTCTGTCCTTTAAGCCCGGCTCCAAAGCCCTCGGGCCTGTGACCCTCACCCCGAAGCAGCACCAAGCCGCCAACAGCCAAAAGTGATTCCAACATCTCCAACTGGCGCACCGTCTTTCCTCCGACGCCCTTTGATGGCGTCACGGCCTGCTGCCCCGCCCCTCAAGGGGAAAGGGGCGGTGCATCCATGATTCCTCCTACCGCTAAAACCTGGCATACTCTGGAATGGGAGGTGATTAAATTCAGTATTCCCAGGGCGGCTCACGCGGAGCGGCCCCTCCCATGCTCTGGAGCGCAGGCGTACGGACGTACGGACGACGCCCCTCTCCACATTTTCACGGGGACTACGGCGGGAAGAGCGGTTGGGGCAGTTGTTAATGGGAGACGGCCGCACGAGCCCGTCAGATCGCCAGAACTCGGGGTCAACTGCCATCACTCCGCCCCACTCACCCCATTAGAGGCGGGACCTGCAATCGCTCCAGGTCCCGCCCCACCGCCACCTTCCGCGCGTGCGCGGTACTGCGGCCTTGTTCGGCGAAACACTCTCCTTTCCTTATCCCCACCCCCATAGACCGAGTCCGGAACCTTAGTCCCGGTGAAGCGAATACACGTCACCACCGGAAGTAATATCAGAGGGGAAGAGGAGGGGGGAAGAAAGGAGGAGGGAGCCCTTTGGGTGATAAAATGGCGCCTGTCAGAGTGGGAAATCCAGCTGCAGAAACTGCAGCCCCACTTCCCAGCGGCTAAGGCATCCCCGATCTCGGGGAGGGGGAGGCCGCTCCGGTTCAGCCATCCGCTCCTCTCGGCTCCCCCTCCCCCTCCTTCCCCGCTCCTTCGCTCAGCCAGCCCGTTCGCTGCAGCCACCGCGGCCCTTCTCGCGCCGCGGCCCCCGCCCGCCCCTTTTCCGCGGGCAGCCCCCTAGCGCGCCTGCGCAGCGGGCCACCCTCCGCTTCCTCCTTCCCCTCCCCCTTCTTTCTCCCTAGCCCCCTCCCCCCATTACCCCCTCCCCCAACTCTCCATCCCCTTCCCTCTGGTCTCGGAGGACCCCGTCCTATCCCGATCTATCTCGGCCCGCAATCTCCGCGAAGCCGTCGGTGCCACTCCCTGCCCATGTGGGCCCCTGCGGGCTGCCCACGCTTGTCCCCCAGCTCCTGGTTCCGCTGGGCTTTCCCTTCGCCGGGGGTGGCTTTCTGAGCCGCCCGCTCCGTGCCCCTCTCTGCAGCCTCTCTTGCCATTCGGGGCCCCCGTTCCCCCTCCCGGCGGCGGGGGGCTGCCCCCGGGGGGCTGGCGGAGCTGGGCCGCGGGGGCCCCGGGGCCGGCGGTGCCGGGGTCATCGGGATGATGCGGACGCAGTGTCTGCTGGGGCTGCGCACGTTCGTGGCCTTCGCCGCCAAGCTGTGGAGCTTCTTCATCTACCTTTTGCGGAGGCAGATCCGCACGGTGAGCCTGGGTGGGCGCTGCTTGTGGTGGGGACCTCTGTCAGCGGTGCTTACGGGTTTTCGGATAGTGTCGGGCCTGTTTGGCCCTGGTGGCGGCTTCTCTCCTTAGACAATTAGGGCACCTTTAGCAGGACATTGGGTGGGATGGGGAGGAGGGAGACCCTTGTAGTAGAACTGAGATCGGGAACTTAGGGACAGGGTTTGGCAACTCTTGGGGGCTAGGGTGGTGGGTGGGGCGCCCTTAAGAAAGCTAGAGTTGCTGCAAAAGAAACCGAGAGGCAGGGAACACCTGTTTGATGGCAGCAGATCTGTTGATGTGGGCTTGTGAGAGACCCTCCTGTTGTTAGGAAACTCCGTGTGCGTTTGGTCTTAAAACAAGGGAGAGACAGGCTTCTGTGTCAAGAGTGGAGGTGGGTGGGAGGGCATATGTGACAAACAAGAATGGGAACTTGGGAAGAGCCCTGGGTGTGAAGGAGAAATCCCTGAGGTTTGCACTAAGGGAACACCTCCAAAAAGGCCCAGAAAACTTACTTCATAGTGTGAGTGTCTGGATTTATTGAGCTCCTGGGACTAAGATGCTTTATGTTGGGCTTCTTTAGTTGTGGAAGTTGAGCACATTAAAGTTTGGGGGTTCCTGTCGGAAGACCGTGTTTGTCAGTTGCAGGTCTGAATCCCAGGGCAAGGCATCCTTGTTTCTTCCGGAGACCCCTAAGATTGGGAGGGATACTGTGGGCAGTGGAAAACTGTGTGCACCTATACAAGTATCTCTGGGTTGCCTCCCCTGTAGCTTTTTTCCAAAGTTAAAGCTCCTTAGGCTAACATCATGTAATGAATGGGTTCTTGTGTTCTCATCACAACTGAGGAGAATTAAGTGAGCTGGTGTTCTCTGGTCTGTACTCTTTGGCATTCCGCAGTAAAACCTGAAAGAATAAAACCAGGTAGCGGCTGTCTAGGTCAAGGAATTTCCAGAAAATCCTGGGTGGTCCTAGTGATGGACTTAGTGATTTGGGGGATGGGCCTGGCCTTGCATTTAGAGTCTCTTTTACCATTCTACTCCTTCCACTTCCTGAGTTAGAGTGAGGATTGTTCTGGGTGGTCATGGTTGTAGGCAGGGCTATTTCCCTGAGGCAAGAGTTAGGAGCCAAGAAGAATTTGGGGTCAGAGATGCGGAGATGGGTGTGGAGCTAGCACCTGGGGTTTTCTTCACATGTTACCTGTCATCCCTCTTTGCCTGGACTTGCTCTGAGCATCCTACCATCTACTTCTAACACATCAGTTTTTGGAGTAGTGCTTCAGGCCATCCAGAGGCTAGTTGCTTTCCTTTGAGTGGCACTGACCCCACAGTCTTTTGTCTTGTCTTCTCTTCCAATCTGGTCTCTTCCCCCACCCCCTTTCTGGCAGATGCTGGGAGCAGTCCCTACATGCCCAGCATGTGCAACCCGAGATAGCAGGGCAGGATACCCGAGCTATTGCGGCCCTCATCAGGGCCCAGGGAGAAAAGAAGGGCAGATGCCTTGGGATGAGGGGTGAGGGCCCTTGAGTTTACAAGAGGAAATCTAGTTCTCATCAGGCTCAGGGCCTAAGAGTGAACTGTAGAGCATTTGTCTGTTTGTGCCTTAGAAGAAAAAAGAAGAGGAGGGAATTGCCAGGCTTTGCATGGGGGAGATACGAGTGTTAGAAACAGGAGTCTCTGGAGAAGGCTTGGAGAAACTGGAAGGCTGAGGTGGTGATGTCCTTGTCCCATCTTCACCTCTCACTCACAGCCCTTACTGCACTCTGGCCTTCTCCACACCCTATTAGTCAGCCTGGCGGGTGGGGCTTTCCAGTGTCCTCTGCCTTGCCCTGGGTACTAGGAAAAGGAGGCTGTTCAAAGGGCTGAGTTTCTTTGCAACTTGTGACTTGGCTCGTAGAGACAGAAATGGACAGGTGGCTGGTTAAAATAGGCCTGGTGGCCCCTAGCCAGAGGAACTTAGCTGACCTGACAACCTCTGGATTCCCTCACCCTCTATTCTGCCCAGTGATCCAAGGACCTCCCTTGACTCCTACTCTGTCCACTAAGGAATCTAAGGCCATGGGAGTTGTCACAAAGAATCTTTGGGTTGGAGGTGGGGAGAGCTGTGCATTTCTTTGTTCAGTGTAGCAAGATAATATCTTGGTTAGGAGGGTAGGTTCTTGCAGCAAACTGCAGAGTGCAATCCTGCCTCCAGCACTCCGTTGATTCTAATATTAACTGACCGCCCCTGCTACAGTGTTCTAGGAATACAGCTACGATGGAGACAAAATCCATGCTCTCATAGAGTTTTCATTCTAATTGGGACAATTAATTAAATAAGGTAATTACTAGGTGTGTGGCCTTAGGCAAGGTATTTATCCTATCCAAGTTTCAGTTTCTTTATTCTTAAAAGAGACATTATTCTTACTGTTATTTGGGTGGTTTTGAGAAATAAATGAAATAATCCTAAATCATTTACATGGTACCCAACATTTGGTAAATGTTCAACATGTGCTACCTGTTGTTACTGGGGAAGATATCCTTGTCAAGGGTTCTAATCCTCTCTTTTGTTCTCAGGTGATTCAGTACCAAACTGTTCGATATGATATCCTTCCGTTATCTCCTGTGTCCCGGAATCGGCTAGGTGAGTATGCTGGCTGGGGAGATCCCTTAAGGTGAAGTAGGGTTCGAGGTCTGGGCTGGAGGCTGGTTGGTGTTACTCCTTCCTGTTGTGGTTCAGGCCAGGTGAAGAGGAAGATCCTGGTGCTGGATCTGGATGAGACACTTATTCACTCCCATCATGATGGGGTTCTGAGGCCCACAGTACGACCTGGAACACCTCCTGACTTCATCCTCAAGGTGTGTAGGGGTGGAATTGTCATGTCTGTTATTCTCCTTGGAACTTTACTAATTCTAGAACGTGTTATCCCCGTCCCCCTTCCCTGGCACCAGTTTCAGCCTGAAGAAGGGAAGCAGGCAGTGGGAAGGTGGGGGGTGTCCTTCAGGTGCTATGGTGCTGAGGACTTCCCCCAGCCCTTCCTTATTCCTCTACAGGTGGTAATAGACAAACATCCTGTCCGGTTTTTTGTACATAAGAGGCCCCATGTGGATTTCTTCTTAGAAGTGGTGAGTTTGCAGAAGCCAAAGGAAGCTCTGTGATGAAGGAATAGTTTTAGGGTTCTGGGAATTTAGAGGATTGGAGGAAGTGAGGAGTGAGGAGAAATGGGTAAGGGCAATTTTGGAGAAGGGAGGTTGTGGAATGGTTGGAGAATGGTTTTCAGTAGTTTGGGTTCATTTGTTTTGCTGGTGTAATGATTCTTTCACAGGCTTCCTGCTCTTTTGTTCTTGCATCTCTGAATCTTAAGGGTGGATGGTGCCTAAGACTCTTGAATTTGGGGACGCTCAGAATTTTGTGTCCTCAGAGACATTCGATATTGCTGGACATCCTGAATGACAGGGCTAGAGTTCTAGTGAAACAGAACTATATGTCTAAATAAGTCCTGACTGGTGTGGCTCAGTGGGTTGGGTGTCACACCACAAAATGAAAGGTCACTGGTTGGATCCCTGGTCAGGGCACATGCCTGGTTGCGGGCATGTTTCTCGCACTTTGAGGTTTTTCCTCTCTTTTTCCCTCCCTTCTCCTCTCTCTAAAAAATAAATAAAATCTTTAAAAACAAGAAAATAAATGAATGATCACCTCTTCTGATACTTCCTTCTTCCCCTGTCCACTTCAGGTGAGCCAGTGGTATGAGCTGGTAGTGTTCACAGCAAGCATGGAGATTTACGGCTCTGCTGTGGCAGATAAACTGGACAATAGCAGAAGCATTCTCAAGAGGAGATACTACAGACAGGTAAGGGGCTAGAAGCCAGGTCTAGAGTGAAGCTCTGGAGGCAGGCCACCAGGTAGGGATTTGAGTTTGAAGCAATTGTCCTGGAATGGGACCTTCTGGGGACATGAGGGCGGCATACTGCACGATCCCCTTTGTTGGAGTTTGACTGCCCGTGGCATTGCTAGGATTGGGGGAGCAACCACAGAGGGTGAGTCTCCTTTTGATACCCAGCTCACCCTGCCTTCCAGCACTGCACTTTGGAATTGGGCAGCTACATCAAGGACCTCTCTGTGGTCCACAGTGACCTCTCCAGCATTGTGATCCTGGATAACTCCCCAGGGGCTTACAGGAGCCATCCAGGTATGGGGGGATGCGGTGAGTCTGGCAGGGCCAGGAAGTGGTTCTGAGAAGGTATTTTGAATGTATGGAGCTGGGATGCCTTGCTTTACTGTAGGCCCAGATGGTGGTGTTTCTCTTTTAAAGGAGTTGTTTCCCCCTACCCCACATCACATGACCATTTCATAAATCAGGATTTGCTTCAGGTGAAACACAATGGCAATTATTTGACTAGAAGCCTCATACTAATATGAGAAATGGTGATTGAAAGTTAATTTTAATTTGGAGTATAAGTCAGGAGGGTTTTTACTTAGATTTTGATTTAGGTGGGTGGGTGGTGGTGAGATATATACAGGGGTGGGCAAAAGTAGGTTTACAATTCATTTGGAAAAAGACATGCAGGTTATGATTATTGCAATGGCTTTATTAACTCAAAAGAATGCCACTCATAACTGTAGACCTACTTTTGCCCACCCTTGTATTTTAAAGTAATGATCCCTACTCCCAAGTAAAAGAAACACCCTCCTTCCTGAGTCCTTTGTTTCTTCTCACCTGTGTTTTTTCACTCAATCTAGACAATGCCATCCCCATAAAGTCCTGGTTCAGTGACCCCAGCGACACCGCCCTTCTTAACCTGCTTCCAATGCTGGATGCCCTCAGGTAAGGGAAGCTAGACACTTAGATTTCTTGGGAAGGGAGGTGGTGGGTTGGAATCCTAAGGCAGAATAAAAGTTTGTCCTGTTTTACTTATCTCTTTTCCCTTAAGCATTTAGCATTTGAACCCAGGTCTTATACTAAAACTGATCACTTTTAGCCTTTGGGTTTTGGGTAAATTAAACGCCAGTCTCATTCTGTGAAAATGGTGACTGCCCCACATCTCCAGTGAGGCTGCCTCACACTAGTGTGGGGGGTATCAACTGTAAGGACTCTACCAATGCAAGTTATTGTCATCCCAGGTTCACCGCTGATGTTCGCTCTGTGCTGAGTCGAAACCTTCACCAACATAGGCTCTGGTGACAGCTGCTCCCCCTCCACCTGAATTGGGGTGGGGGGGAAAGGGAGGGTGAGCCCTCAGGATGCCTGTCTGATGCCCTGTCCGTTGGTGAGGACTGCCTGGGCAGGGTCTGCCCCTCCCTCCCCTCTGCCCTGGGAGCCCTGCACTCCATGTGGAGTCTGGATGGACACATGGGCCAGATTGTGAACCAGCCTCTCTCTAACTTCGTGTTCGCACTCCCTGGAAACCCCAGACTGGGACATAAACGGAGGACTAGGAGGGCCGAAACTATCTGTGGTGGAGAGAGGACTGGCCAGAGTGAGAGACAGACTTTTGATAATCCGGGAGGCTCAGAGAGAAGCCAAGTCAGCTTTGTTGTGATTTGATTTTTTAAAAAACTCTTGTACAAAACTGATCTAATTCTTCACTCCAAGGGCTGGGTTGTGGGTGGGAAGCTGGGATTTGGGCCACTGGATTTCACCCAAACTTGTACCCCCCTTACTTTTCGCTATACTTTCCTTTCCTAGATTCCCTCAGACCTGTAACCAGCTTACTGTTTTTTTCCCCCTCTTTTAAACCATGCATTATAACTTTGAAACCAAAGCTGCCCCAGGTCCTTCTCTGGGGTTTTGGGAAATTAAGGGCAGAGGGGAGAGACTGCTGTTGGTCCTAGAGGTAGGGGGGATAGACGGTGGTGGCTTTGCAAGGATGGAGTAGTGAACATCCACACCACACGCTTTGGCGGGAAGCGTCTTATTTACAGGATGGGCGTCCTGGCCGGGAGCAGGACAATTGTATGTCCTGAGGGAGATTGAGGTTCAGAGCGGTAGGACACAGATGTATCAGAGGAGGAGGAACCTAGACGCCAGAAAAGGCATCTAGCTGGAAAGAAGCCCGGCAGGGGGACTGACTAGACAAGCCAAACGGGCTATGCCTCCAGGCGGCAGGTCCCCACAACCCTACTCACTCCTGGCTTGCCAGCCTCCCTGTCCCGCTCTAGCAGCTGCGGGCTCCGCCTCCCAGTGCCCTCCCCCCAGAAACCGGCTCTACTTCCTCGCGGCCGCCACGTGATGCTCCGCCCTTCTTTCAGATCACATGATTTCGTTCCTACGAGTGTAGAAAGTGTTCCTCCGCGTTGACGTAGTCCCCACCTTTTGGACTAGGGTCGGTTCCCTATCGGTCCATTCTCCTGAACCTTAGGCTTCTGTACGTCTTTTCAAATATGTACTTAGTTTCTACCCTTTATTTCCGAAGACCACCTTCTCCACTTGGGTACTACTTTGTTTTGGTGTCAACCGCCGTCTTTAGCGTACCAGCACGTTTCGTGAATAGCTGTGCTTATACTTACCTCTGCTTCTTCTCTACGTTATGTACAAAAAGAACTTTTGGAGAACAGAATCTCAAATTATGATTATTATCTCCTAGCTTCTTTTCATCTCCAGCTTCATGGGGGAAGATCGGGAAATGGATTTTCAGTTATTTTGGACGGTAGAAAAACCCACCACCTTGCCTACGTCGCCTACTTAGCCCACAAATAGATTCCAAAGCGATTACGCTGACGGCGTGTGGGGGGGCTGGGGGGGGGTCAGTCAGTAGGTGGTGCTAAGTTAGCGGCGTTAGAGCTGCTGCGCTGGTGGCGTAACGAGCAAGCAAGGAGGCCCCTGGTGGGTGGGGGCGGGGTTGGTGAATAGGGAAGTGGCGTAAGTCCTGAGATCGCTCCGCTGAATCCGCCTGCGCGTCGCCACCTTCGTCGCCGCCGCCCCCTGTCCCAGCCCCCCCTCCCTGGGTTCCCTCAGCCCAGTCCGGTCCAGCCCGGTTCCCGGGAGGATGAAGTTCGTGTATAAAGAGGAGCATCCGTTCGAGAAGCGCCGCTCTGAGGGCGAGAAGATCCGAAAGAAATATCCGGACCGGGTCCCGGTGAGGACGGTAGCCAGGGCCGAGGGCGCGGGGCGCTGGCACTGACGCCACAACCTGGGCTTGTGTTCCGAACGGGCAGCGCGGGTATCAGGCTGCCGGCCGTGATGGGGTTGGGAACGATCCTGAAACTGCTGTCTTTGGGAGTGGCGATGAAAGTAGGGGTAGCAGTGGTAGCTGAGGGCGAGGGGTGTAGATGAGAGAGATAGGCCTTGGGATTTCAGTGGGAGACTGTAGGGAGTTTGACAGTATGAATGTCACATGGTCATTCCCCCCAGCTGGCTAGGCTTTTGAGATTGAAGATGTAGTCGGCCCATGCAAGTCATTCCCGTCTGGTTAAGATAGTTGTTTATTATGATGCTCCCTTTTCAGGGACCTGGAGGTTTAGGCAAGTAGGGTCAGTGGGCTCTGGGGTGTCTACTCAGGACTACACCGCGTGTTCAGAGACAAAGAAAAATAAGCCTGGGGTAGGTTTGGGTGCTAGCAATATTGTTGCTTGAATTCCTGACAGGTGGAGCTGTAGGGCTGTAATATCTAATGTCTTCTAATTTTGTATCTTCTCGTTATCAGGTGATAGTAGAAAAGGCTCCCAAAGCTCGGATAGGAGACCTGGACAAAAAGAAATACCTGGTGCCTTCTGATCTCACAGGTGGGAACCTGACCCAGTACCCAGGTTTGCTACCTGTGGGAGCAGCTGTTCTTTTGAGGGCATTTGTGATATTTGTGACTTTATCGCACTTCGTATCTTTGACAGTTGGTCAGTTCTATTTCTTGATCCGGAAGCGAATTCATCTCCGAGCTGAGGATGCCTTGTTTTTCTTTGTCAACAATGTCATTCCACCCACCAGTGCCACGATGGGTCAGCTGTACCAGGTATGGTGGTTGGGAAGTAGTGGAGGCTTTGGAGAGGGAATTGGAAGAGCTTTAGGGGAAACAAGTTTCAGGTCAGCAGTTCTTGGACCAGCTGGCTTGCTTATCTCTCAGTTTTATCTTTGAGGTAAAATTTCGATTTCTGACCTTTCTGAGTAGGTCTGGGGTGGGGGTTTGGACAGGTAGTGAGAGCAGTAGACAGAAGGGAGAAAACAGTGAGGTAGAGCAACTGTTCTGATAGGGATTCTTTCTAGTCCTAGTCCCCTTCTCATTCTAAGTCAGCAGAGAACAAGTTGAGGTCTTTTTTATTTTTCATTTATTTTTGCCTAGGGCTGCTCCTAGGGATGGCTGCCAGGTTCTGGGACAAGTGAGGGAGAGAATCAAGGCTCTGGTTTTGGGGGTCTTTAAAAAATGGTTTTTGAAGAATGTATTGGCATGGTGGGTGGATCAAGTAACTAATGGCCAGATGCCTGAGTACCATCATTTTCTGCTTTCACCACAGGAACACCATGAAGAAGACTTCTTTCTATACATTGCCTACAGTGATGAAAGTGTCTATGGCCTGTGAAGCTGCTGCGCCTGTGGTGGGGGGTCCCATTCTACAAAGAGAGAGGTGGCCCCCCCTTCCTTGACCTTCTCCCTTCAGGACCTGCACTTCCTAATGTTTGAGGCTCTTCTCCAGAACCTCTTAGCAGGAGGGTTAATGGGGGAGATGGCTTCTAGTACCTCTCCTTTCTCCTTCCTTCCCCTTTCTTTACCACCTTTTCCTTTCTGCTTTAGACTTCTTGATTGTCCATCTCTGTCACATCAAGTGATTGTTTTGGTTTCTGTTCCTTTTCTAACTGCCAAGGGGCTCAGAACCCCAACAATCTTTTCCTTTCACTACCTTTTTTTGGGGGTAATGGAAGGGACTGAAATTGTCGGGGGAAGGTAGGAGGCACGTCAATAAAGAGGAAACCACCAAGTTGAACTGGATTTTGCTTTGCGTTGCTACTCTACCCCTTCTGTTTTTTGGTGGTCTGTGAGGTTGGAGGGAGTAGTGACATTTTGGTTTATTCTGTTGATGCTGGGTTTTTGTGCATAAAGAGGGTGCTTTTGTTGTGATGAATGGGATACTCCTTAGTATTCTCTCTTGAAACTAAAGTTGCACATACCTGTGTTTTGGGTCCTGATGTAAAGAGTAACTCTTCTACTGAGGGTTCCTGTGGGGAAAGTTTGAAGCTACCTGCTTTAGATAAATACATCAAAATTTATTATAACCTTTTGGATAAAGGAAGAGATTTTCGTGTGTGGAGTTTGGTAAAAGGGCTTTATCCTCAATTGCATGTCAGTTGGCCAGACTTTGTGAGAGCATGTGGCAGTGGAATCCAAGGAAGGCAGAAGACTAGGAGGAGGGAATCCACGATCACTACGAGAACTTCATCTCCCAGCAATCACTTCTCTGTCTGGCCAGAAGTGGGGCGGTCCCGGGGTGGGGGGCGGGGAAAGGAGCTGCAGAATGAGGCAGTATGGTGGCCGAGAGTTCTAATCCCTTTCCCCATTTTTCTTAGTCCCGCCCAGCCTACATTCCCCAGGAGCCCCCGCGCGCTTTTCCGCTCTACCCTCTGCTCCCAATCTCCCCGCCACTCCCAGGGGGAGGGGAAGGGGCTTAGTGCGCCTGCGCTAATCCGTGGCTTGCTGGGAACTGAAGTTTCCAAGGCTTACGCAGTCCTCGTCTCACAGCCCTCATACGGACTACAACCCCCTTGATGCATTGCGCGTGGGCGCCCGCGAAGGGAGGAGAGGGAGGGAGGGAGGGAGGGAGTGGAGAGGAGGAGGGAGCGGGCGGCCGGCGGCGCGGGGGGAGGGGGCTCGGTCCGGGAGTGCGGGAGGCTTTGGTAGAGGGAGGTGGCGGCTGTAGCTAGCGGTCTCGAGTCACAGCCGGGTCGAAGCAGACACCTCTGTGGAGTGAGGCAGCAGGAACACCGAGCACCGGAGGCGGCACCGGGATCCCCGGCTCAGGGGAGGGGGGCGCCGGACCGGGAGGAGGGGAGGGGGCGATGCTGGAAGCCATGGCGGAGCCCAGTCCCGAAGGTGAGCGAGCTCTCGACCGGCACCGAGCGCTGAGCTGGAGGGGGGCGGTCAGGAATCAATTGGCAAACTTGGAGGTCGAGCCCCGGAGCCCAGCGAGGGAGCGTGGGGAGGGGTTCGGGGGCCTGCCTCTGGAGGTAAGAGAGGGGCGAGTTGAGAGACCTTGGAGAAAGAGGAGTGGGAGACTGAGCTGAGGGTAGTTGGAGATCAGATGCTGTTGGGCGGGGGGGTGTGGAGGTGGGGAGTGGGAGCTGGAAATCCGGAGCTTCGGGGTTTAGGGGCCGAAAGGGCCTCCGGCGTGTTGGGGCCCTGAAGCTGAGTGGCTGGGGGAATCTGGGGGCCGGAGAGTTGTTGAGGAGGGAGGCGGTAGAAGAGGGCTGAGTGAGGAGCCCGGTAGTTCGCCTAGGTGGGGGAGTTTGTGGCGGTGGTGCCGGAGCTCCCGGTAGTTGCCGCTGGAGATAGCCCGGTGATTGTTGGAGGAGTGGGCAGATAGTTGAGGGGAGAAGAGGGAGTCTGGGTATTGTCTGCGGTAAGGGACCTGTACCGGAGGGTTAGTTGTGGGGAGAGCGAGCCGGCCGGGAAGCGAGGAGAGCTGGGTAGTTTAGGGGCGGTGGGGCGGGGTGGGGGGATTAAGACCGGCGGGTTGAGAGGTGGAGTGGGGGAGTTGGTCGGGTCGAAGAGGGTTAAAGCCTGGGAGTTGCGGAGGGTGAGGGGGCAGCGGCAGCAGCTGCGGGGGGTTGCTGGGCGGGGGGAGAGTAACTGGGTGGGGGGGCTAGAGTTTAAGGGGTCCGTAGCCTAGTGACTTGGTGGTGAGTACGGGGACGGGGGTGGGGGGCGTAGAGAGCTCCGAACTGGGTCCGGGGGCCCGGCGGGGAGCCCGAGAAGCTCGAGGCGGGGAGGGGCCAAAGCCCCGGATGGGGGCGGAGGGACAGCGAAATTGTGGGGAGCGCGCTATGTGGGGGCAGGTGGGGCCGCGTCCGGGTGAGAGCTCTCTGGTCTGTCCCGGACGCGAAGTGGCGTTGGATGTGTGAGCCTGTGTGTGTGTTTAAGGTGGGGGTGAGGGGCGCGCCGAGCCTCGTGCTCGAGTAGAAGGGGCCGGAGGGCGGGGAGCGGCTCAGCGTGGTCATCCTGGACCCTGGGGGCCGGCGGGCGGCGAGTGCGGTCTTGGAGGGACCGGGGCGGTTGAGTGTGCCTCGGCAGGAACGCGGGGTACTAGGCGCCTGCGAAGGGTAAGGGCAGGCGACAGCTCGGGCTCGGTCCCAGGAGCGGTATGGCGGGGTGGGGCGCTGAGAGATCCGAGTAGACAAGTCTAGAGAAACCGTGAGGGGGGGCGGGGCGCCAGGCCTCCGGTGGGGGGAAGGGGAGCGTTATATCGAGGCACGAGAGGGCGCCGCTCCCAGGCTCCTCCCCTCGCGGGGTGGACGGGGGAGCAGGGGCGGGCCCAACACAGGAGGGGCTTACTGGCCAGGCTGAGGGACCTGGGAGCAAGGGGGTTTGCTTGGGATCTCCAAGGTTTAGAGTTGGGGTTTTACCCAGACTCTTTCCTAGTGCCTTGACTCAGCTTTTATTGCTTTCACAGATCCTCCTCCGACCCTTAAGCCAGAGACTCAGGTGAGCTTCTCTTCTCCTTACTTTTACAGCCTAGTATTACTGTCCAATCCTCTCCTATCCCTCCTCTTTCTTCGTCCTACCTTTTCTAGATTCCTTATTCCTGGGACTGTGCCTTTGGAAATGACCCCCTTAAACTTGATGTGATAAAAGTTTCCTTTCTTTCAGCCACCAGAGAAACGGCGGAGAACAATTGAAGATTTTAACAAATTCTGCAGTTTTGTGTTGGCCTATGCCGGTTACATCCCCCCTAGCAAAGAGGTAGGGACAGGATGTCAATTGACTTAAGGGCGGTGGCCTAGGATTATGGAGGGTCCATTGAGCAAATGGAACTACTTATAAGAAAAGCCTACCAAAAATTAGACGTAAGACTAGGGTGGTTAGCCGTGGCTGGTGTGGCTCAGTGGATTGAGTACTGGCCTGAGAACCAGAAGTTCTCTGGTTCGATTCCCAGTTGGGGCACATGCTTGGGTTGCTGGCCGGGTCCCCAGTTGGGGGCGTGAATAAGGCAGCAGATCGATGTGTCTCTCACACATCTATGTTTCTTTCTCCTTCCTTTCTTCTCTCTCTAAAAATAAAATATTAAAAAAAAAGACTAGGGCGATTAGGAACTCTAGTAGGAACACCAGTATTTGGGGTGGATGTGGGGATAGTAGGTGGTTTGAGCAGCAGTGAGTAGTTTTGGGGTGCTGTTAATGGAAGGTGCTTCGGATAAATTGTAGGAAGGTGAAAGTGGTAACCAGTGAGGCTGTATAGAAATGCTTTTTGTTAGGGAGATACAATGTTGCATAGACAGCGGGGAATTGAGATGGTTGGAATTTAAGGGCACAAGTAACATGGGAGGTGTTTAAGAGGAGATGCTGATAGGAATTGGGGTGGGGATAAATAGTTTAGTGAGATTTGGTGGTTTTGGCAGGGTATTTGGGGTAGAGCAGTCTCTAGTTATTAAGCTGGGTTTGTAAAGAAAGAGGGAAATGACACTAGGCCCCCTTCTGACCCCGGTCTTGTCTCCCTTTTAAGGAAAGTGACTGGCCAGCCTCTGGCTCCAGCTCTCCATTGCGAGGTGAGAGTGCGGCAGACAGTGATGGCTGGGATTCGGCCCCCTCAGATCTCCGAACTATCCAGACCTTTGTTAAGAAAGCAAAGTCATCCAAGAGACGGGCTGCTCAAGCAGGTCCCACCCAGGCAGGACCCCCAAGGTCCACTTTCTCTCGTCTGCAGGCCCCTGACAGTGCCACCCTGCTTGAGAAGATGAAGCTCAAGGACTCTCTCTTTGATCTAGATGGGCCCAAAGTGGCATCTCCACTGTCCCCCTCATCCCTCACACATGCCACCCGGCCCCCAGCTGCTCTCACCCCAGTGCCCCTTTCCCAGGGGGACCTTTCCCAGCCTCCTCGAAAGAAGGACCGAAAGAACCGAAAGTTGGGGCCTGGAGGGGGGGCTGGCTTTGGGGTGCTTCGGAGGCCTCGTCCAGCCCCTGGGGATGGGGAAAAGAGGTCTCGGATCAAGAAGAGCAAGAAGCGGAAGTTGAAAAAGGCAGAGCGGGGAGATAGACTCCCACCTCCTGGGCCTCCCCGGGCACCTCCCAGTGATACAGACTCTGAAGAGGAGGAGGAAGAAGAGGAAGAGGAGGAGGAGGAAGAGATGGTATCAATGGCAGGGGGTGACGCCCCACCCCCTGTGCTGTCAACACCCCAGGAGGCTCCTAGGCCCCCTGCCACAGTGCACCCTGAAGGAGCCCCTCCCACTGACAGTGAAAGCAAGGAGGTGGGCAGCACTGAAACAAGCCAAGATGGAGATGCCAGCTCCAGTGAAGGGGAGATGCGGGTCATGGATGAGGACATCATGGTAGAATCAGGTGAGAAGTTTGGGGCTGCCTCGGGGCAGCTGGGATGATGGGTATGGAACTGGTTGTGGATACAACAGCTCAGACAACACCAAACCAATTTTTTCCCCAGGTGATGACTCATGGGACCTGATCACATGTTACTGCCGAAAGCCCTTTGCCGGGAGGCCTATGATTGAGTGTAGCCTCTGTGGAACGTGGATCCACCTCTCCTGTGCTAAGATTAAGAAGACGAATGTCCCTGACTTCTTTTACTGCCAGAAGTGCAAGGAACTGCGGCCAGAAGCCCGGCGGTTAGGGGGGCCTCCCAAATCTGGGGAACCCTGACATCACCATCTCTATGCTGGAACTTCCTAATGGCATAACTTGGGAACTGAGCCTCGGGGTCCTCAGCCTATCCCCTGAAGCTTGGATATTGTCCCACTTCAAGGCAGGAATTCCCAAGGGAG